GCCGGCCCGGCTCCCCTCCTGCTAGCCCAGAACCCAGCGCAGCAGCAGCCCCGCACCGGGGCGCACGGGGACGTCCGCAGCGCACGAGCTGGGCACCCGCGGGGACAGGACGCAGCGGCGCTCCCGGTGCTGCCTTGTCCCGTGCCTCCCGCACGGCTGCCGCTGCTCGGCCGGCCCGCGCCGCTCGCTTGCCTCCCCTCCCTTGATAAATGGCCCCATTAAATAAAGCCTTTTCACGCGGAGCCCTGAGTATTAATCTGAGCAGGGCGCCCGGAGATAAATGTGCTGCCACAACCCATTAAGAGCAGCATCTTAGTTGGGCTCGGCGGCGCCGGCGCGGGCAGCGTGCCGGGCTCGGCCGCCACTCGGCACCCACAGCTCTGCTCCCCCAGGTACATCCAAGGGGCCTCCTCCCCCAAGGACATGGTCATCATCGTGGACGTGTGAGTACGGCCAGGGCATGGGCATGGATTGGGGCTGCACCTGCTCCTCGGGGGTGTCTCATGTCCCCCAGGATGGGGACGGCTTGGGGGGCACCTTGATCTTCCTCGGCACGGACGGCACGAGCCTCAGCCCTCCTTGCCCTTGCAGGAGCGGCAGTGTGAGCGGCCTCACCCTCAAGCTGATGAAGACATCAGTCTACGAGATGCTGGACACGCTCTCAGACGACGACTATGTCAACGTGGCCTCGGTGGGTATCACCGCAGGGCACGCTGCGAGCGGCTGGGGGCACCACGGAGGCGCCCGGGGACACTGTCCTTGCAGGTCCTTTGGATGCGCCTCATGCCAACAAATCTCCGAGCGGCTCAAGGCCGCCTCAAGGAGAAACCAACGCCGCAGCAGCGCTCTCCCTATCCCAAAATGAGGGGTCGGGAGCTAAAAGCAGCAGGATTTAGTGACTAGTTGCTGCCCTCGCAGCACTGCAGCAAAGGAGAGCTCAGTGGGTCGAGGCAGCTGGATAAACGAGGCAGGAGGCTGGTGGTTAGGGCACATTCAGGGCAGCTGATTAGAGGATTTGGGCTGTCATCCCATAATGTCCTGCTCGCTTTCCGCCCCGTGGATCAGCGCGGAAGGACGTGTCTTTTGCGGAGGGACAGCTCTGTTCACAGCTGGGCGCCCAGGACGCTGCCGGGTGTGTCCGTGTTAAACTGGCTGGAAACGTCCCAGCCGGTGACCTGGATCTGTGTCTGGTCTCGGAAATGGGGCGACCTGCTCTTCTGGACCGCCGAGCATCCCGCCACAGTGGGGGCACCGCCGCGGTGCCAGGCACCCCCATCTAACGCCACCCTCTCCCCCGTCCTAGTTCAACGAGAAGGCAAAGCCGGTGTCGTGCTTCAAGCACCTGGTGCAAGCCAACATCCGCAACAAGAAGGTCTTCAAGGAGGACGTGCAGGGCATGGTGGCCAAGGGCACCACCGACTACAAGGCTGGCTTTGAGTACGCCTTTGACCAGCTGCAGAACGTGAGCCAGGGCCCGGGGCGGGCGCGGGGGGAGGCTGGACATGGCGCGTGGGTGGAGGGGCACCCATGGGTGCTGGGGCTCCCAGGACATCCCGGTGCGGTGCCTCTGGGGACATCTCCCCACCGCACCGTGCCCCGGCACCGAGGCTCTTAAAAGAGAGGCCTGGCTGCGGCCGGGTGAAATGAAGATGAATGACCCTGTTAACAGCGGGGCAGCAAGCGCCACGGTGCCACTTCTAAGC